GCCTGCAAGGCAGGCAGCAGAACCAGAGCTAAATCTCTGGCCCAGGTGATTTTTTGATTGTATGCCACATATTGTGAGTTTTCCCTATTTGGGTGCTGAATATTTTTGCATTTCTATAAATATTCTTGAGCTTTGATATGGGACATGCTTACATCATTTGGAAATAGTATGATCCTTTTGGGTCTTTTTTTTTTAAGATTTCTTACATGAAATTAGAGCAGTTGTTAGTCTAGGGCTATTTTTGTTTGGTTTTTGGTTCTGAGACACAGGTTCACAATGTAGCCCAGGCTGGCCTTGAACTCATAGAGCTCTGCCTGCCTAGGTCTTCCAAGTGCTGTCATTATAGGTGTGCATCACTGTGCCCACCATCAGGAATAATTATTTTATAATACTGACCCAGTTGTTTTGAGTCTGGGTGGTGGGAACAGATGCTATTCCCAGCCTCAGGTGGGCTGTGTACTTTTCTCTGTAATGGTCTTGGGTGGTCTACTTTCTGCATGTGAGTGTGCTGATCAGTACACTGCTGAACACTTGAGGGGAACCCTCTGCTTCTCCCTGAGAAGCTTTCTCCTCTTGGCTTCATAGAGCTTCGACCAGCACGTCTCTTCCATCCCCTGCCCCATCCGGACTCACCGGACAGTAAGCAGGCGCCTCTGCCCTCTTGTCTCTCAGGGATCAGTCTCCACTGCTGATGGGCAGTGTCCAGGAAAACATTATTTCATATGCTTTGTCCCATTTTTAAGTTATTTCAGAAAGGAGAGTAAATGCAGCCCCTGCTATTCTTTTCTGGCCAGAAACAGACTAATGCTAAGTCAAATCTTAAAAGATACTGACCTTTAGTTTAATTTTCGAAAGCATAGGTTAAGAGCTTCTGATGATCTTATTTCCAAATGAGGTTATTTTTAAAAGAGGGAGCCATGGCTCTATCTAGGCAAAACCAGATGATTTCTTCATCCCTTCTAGCTGTAAAACTGTTTTGATGCTATCTTTTAAAAATCACACTTAAAACAGTGCCTCAGTGAAGATTTTAATTCAGACAACATACAGTTCCCATGTATTAAAATAATGATTTTTAACCTGTTATCTCCTTTCTCTGTTCCATCCAACAAATGTGAAGAAAAAATAAAATAGTTAAGAGGCATGGTAATGTGCCTCTATACTCTAAGAAAACCAATTCAAACTCTATATTCAGAAGCATAAAACTTGCTTTATCCTTGGAATCATTAACATCACTTACCAAATTATAGTTAATATAGGTATGTAAAAGGTATGTGAATTGTGCTAATTTAAATGGGAAAAATAGAAATAATCTTAATATCAAAGTAGGTGGCCACTAAGGGGTGAATATCCAGGACCTATAAAGAACTCCTGCAATTCTGTACCAAAAGAATCAACCCAATTCAAAAGTGGGTGAAGGACTTGAACCAGACCTTTTTCAAAAGAAGATACACAAATGGCCAATAAGCACCTGAAGATGCTTGGTTTCTGTAACAAGTAGGGGAATGCAAATCGAAGACACAGTAAGATACTGCTTCACACCCTTTAGGATTGCTGTTACTTAAAAGAAATAAAAAATAAATTCTGGCAAGGAAGTGGAGAAATTGGGTCTGTGCTTGTGTGGTGGGAATGTACAGCGGTGCAGGAAACAGTCTGGTGTTCCTCGAAGAATTAAACATACAGTGACTGTATGACCCAGCAGGTCCACCACTCAATGCATACCTAAAAGAATTAAAACCAGGGAGTCCCACAGACACTTGCATTACCAGTGTTCACAGCAGCACTAGTCACCGTAGTCAAAAGGTGGAAACAGTTGTCCCTCATTGGAAGAAAGACGCACCTTAAATGTGCTTGATACGTACAGTGGAATCTTAGCTGTAACAAGGAAGGTCATTCTGGTACATGCCACAGCATAGATGAACCTTGGAGGCCCTACGCTAAGGGAAATAAGCCAGACACAAAATGGACAAGAACTGTATGAAACCCCATGTATGAGATGCCCAGAGTGGCCCTCTTCCTGGGGACAGAGTAATGGTGCTTACTAGGGAGGGCTGGGGTGAGGGATGAAAGGGCACAGAGCTTTAGTCTGGGTCGAAAAAAATTTCTGGAGATGATGGCTGCACAACATTTTGAGTGTCCTTATTGCCACTGAGCTGCATGTTTAAAGATAGTTAAAATGATAAATTTTGTTATGTGTATTTTACCATAAAATATATATTTATACATGTACATACATATCTGTGAACACAGAATAGGTGCCTCGTTACATAAGTAATTCACAGTTCCCAAAGGGTAGCCAAAGGGATTTAGATCAGGCCCTACACTCCCTCCCGCTCTTCCTCTCCAGGGGTGACCCACGCGGCCATCTGGGCGGCCTGCATTTCGTACCTCAGTGCGGCTGTGCCCCCCGAGCTGCGGACGTCTGCTCAGGGCATCCTGCAGGGCCTGCACCTGGGCCTGGGACGAGGCTGTGGCGCCATGATCGGAGGCCTGCTAGTCAACTACTTCGGTAAGAATGGCTTTCTCTCTCTTTGGCTCCTGTGGTGAAAATGTGATTATTCAGTAACACCTTAATAAACACTCAGATTGTTGCCGAATATTGCCAGAGGCTACACTCTAGAATTTGTGTTCTCTTTCTCGATTTCCTGGTAGTCATAATTGCAAAGCCTGGTTTGTTAGGGTGACGAGCCAGCTGTAACTGTGCACACGCCTTACACGCCTTGACAGTTTAATGAGAAGAGACACAGATAACCGCCCCGAAGCCGTAAGCTCCCCAGTGAATTAGCACACATGCTTCTGGTTTAAAGCAGGATGCCCAAAACCTGCTGACAGAAACACCAAAGGAAAGAAAATTCACCAGTTATCCCATCAGGAGACTTTGACCCAGGAAAATGTGACCACGCACTGGCTCTGCCTGTGTCAGTACATCTGTGTAACACTGTCAACCTCATCCCATCTCCTTTATGGGAAATACAGGGCTCAGATGGAATTGAGATGATTGTGCGCCAAGGCTCTTGGCTCCTCAGTCACTATGCAGGCCGGGTTGTTTAACAGTGGGTGATGGTGGGCACTGTGAAGGGATTCAGTGACAGTCCTTCCCACATGCCATGCTCTACCAGATCACCAGCGGCACCACAGCACCCCGGGCCCCTGACACTGCTCCAGCCCTGTGCCTTTTCCGCTATACAGAGCTAGCAGAAGGGCACTTTTCTCTGGTTCACTGAAAACTGTGCTTCCTTTGCCCCAAACTTGAGAACGTTGAGTTTTGGAGGACAACCTGCACCTCCTGGAATTTCTCTCTAGCATGTTCTGCTTGTTTTCAAAGGGGCTGCTGCAACCTTCCGGGGAATTGGCATGGCCTGCCTGGTGATCCTCCTGCTCTTTGCCCTGATCCAGTGGCTGGCGGTGCCAGATGAGGAGGAAGGTAAACATTCCCATTCTTTCTTTTTTGGTACCGGGGATCGAACTCGGGTCCTTGCACTTACGCAGCAGGTGGGGAAACCACTGAGCTAAATCCCTGCCCTCCATTATTTCTTTATGGTTCTAATGGATCACACCATTAGGACTCAAACCCCGAGGACTTCTGCATGTGCTCCATGGAAACCCAGTACCTTGGCTAGGTTTTCTCAGTGATGTACCAGTGGACTCGTGTGTGCCACTTACAGAAAAACTACCTACTATGCTGGAAAAAAATATTGGTGGTTGAGTAGCTTGGAGTTTTCTTGTTTTATGATACAAAGTACTAGGGAAGTACTGCTTTAAATTTCCCTGTTTTTTTTTTTTTTT